GGGTGGCTCCAGTCTCAGGTGCTCATCTCTGCTGCTTGTAGACGGTGTCAGATATTGAGCACGGATGGATCCTGGTCAATAAGGARCAGCTCCGACAGCTGAAGTCTCTGCAGGAAAAGGTTTCCAAGAAGGAGGTAGGGGAGGATGCAATGCCGTGACCGGGGCACTGCAGCAGCCCCTGTTCCTGTCCTGTGTGCTGCTGGGTTGCTCAGTGTTCCTGGCAGTGCTGACCCCCCTGGCTGTGCCCGCAGTTCATCCGCCTGGCACAGACCCTCAAGTACTACGGCTATCTCAAGTTCGAGCCCTGCGTCACCGATTTCCCCGAGAAGGGCTGCCACGTGGTTGTCAGCGCTGGCAACAACGAGCTCAACTTCCAGGTGCGGCTGCCGAATGAGCAGATCAAGGAGGGCAGCTTCAAAGTGACCCGCATGCGCTGCTGGCGCGTCACATCCTCAGTGAGTAACKCTGGAGAGCAGGGAGGGCTCTGGGGGGCTGGAGAGACCTGGCTYTACCAGGCTGGGCTGGTGCTTCTGCCCGAGAAAGGCATTGGCTGAGTCTGAGCTTCTGGCTCAGTGGGCCTGAGGAGAGTGTGAATCACGCCTTGGGGCTGAGCAGATCACTGGTGTGAGGACATTTGAGGGGACATTGAGGTGTGAGGACATTTGAGGGGACCTGACGGTGGCAGAAGGCTGGTGGCACTGGGAGGTGTCACACACTTGGCTGGGTGCAGCCTCGGTCTGCTCTGGTGCAGCTCCCAGCCTCGGTTGTTTCCGTGCAGGTGCCAATGAGCAATGGCCCCTCTGGGAGCAGCCCTGGCAAGTCCGAGGTGAAGCTGGAGTTGGCTTTTGAGTACCTGATGAGCAAGGACCGGCTGCAGTGGGTGACCATCACCAGCCCCCAGGTAGAGCTGCTGTTTTGTGTGCTGGGCTGTGAGGGGAAGGGCAGTGCTGGGCTGGGCCTGCTGTGGGATATGGGAAAGCTGTGGTGACACTTCTCCCTTGCAGGCCATCATGCTGAGCATCTGCTTGCAGTCCATGGTAGATGAGCTGATGGTGAAAAAATCTGGAGGCAGCATCCGTAAGGTGAGGGTTGGGGCTGGATGATGTCCCCCGGGTGGGATCCCAACCTGCCCCTGTGACTTCCTGGGGTCTGGGCTGGACCCTGAGTGCTCCCCTCAGGATGGGGCCAGCACAGAGACCCCCAGGGTCAGTTTTAAGCCCCAGAGCTCCCCKTGGAGGTCCTGTGGCTGAGCTGAACTCTTCCCTGCAGATGTTTCGGCGGCGGATGAATGGGGCCCTGCGGCGCTCAGACAGCCAGCAAGCTGTGAAGTCACCGCCACTGCTGGTGCGTGGGACCCTGGAACCCTGGGAGGGGACACACGGGACCCTGCAGCCCTGGGTGGGGACACGTGGGACCCTGCAGCCCTGGGTGGGGACACACGGGACCCTGCAGCCCTGGGTGGGGACACGTGGGACCCTGGAGCCCTGGGTGGGGACACATGGGACCCTGCAGCCCTGGGTGGGGACACATGGGACCCTGCAGCCCTGGGTGGGGACACGTGGGACCCTGCAGCCCTGGGTGGGGACACGTGGGACCCTGCAGCCCTGGGTGGGGACAGGGGACACATGGGACCCTGCAGCCCTGGGTGGGGAACACGTGGGACCCTGCAGCTCTGGGTGGGGACACGTGCGGCCATAGCCTCTGCCATTTGTTGTGTATCAGCACTCACTGTCCCCAGGGGTGCCACTGTCCCCTTGGCAGGGCTGGGACAAGCCCACAGGACAGTGGGGCTGTCGTGCTCTGCTTCCAGAGCCCTGGGAAGGGAGAGGGGTCCTGGATCATCTCAGTGAGACTCCCTGGGGAGGGAGGGAGGGCAGATAGAGGGACAGGTGGGTATTGTCTCCCGTGACCCTGTGCTGCCCAGCTGTGCTGTCCTCACAGGATTCACCTGATGCCTCCCGGGAGCCCATGGCCAAACTCTCGGTGAGTTGCATTCACATGTGCCACAGCCCTCAGGCTACGTGGTGACCTGGGGCTGTCCTCCCTAACATCCCCCTTCTCCACAGAGCAAGCTCACTTCTGTCAGTCTGCGTGGGATCAGCCACTCCAGCTCTGCTAATGATGTGGGTACTAATGACTTCCATGGCAATTACGCCTTCGAGGGCATCGGCGATGAGGATCTGTAGTGCCCCCCTTCCCAGGACAGCCCCAGCCTTCGCAAGGGCCTTCGCTGAGGAATGTACGACCTGCAGCCAGGTTGCAATCAACGTGCCTCTCGCCTGCTCCATCCACCTTCCCCCGCTCCCGGGGCTGGGAACTCGCCCCCAGCCCGCCATTGCCTTTGGGGTGGGGGCAGCTGAACTCCTCCTGCTGCTGGCTCCAGCTGGGAGAGGGCTTGTTCAACCTGAGCAGCGTGCCTGGAGCAAGCCCTGGAGCAGCAGKGAGGGCATGGCCCGGCGTGGGGCAGCTGCCCCAGGCAGGCTCCATAATGCCAAATTAGCATTGTTTAGGATTGTGCTCTGAGACAGAGTGCAGTCAGCTGTCTCAGGGGGCTCCGTGCAGAGCTCCCTCTAACCCGCTCATAGATGCCAGCGTAATCTAGGCTTGTAATCACCTATCTCCTGCTGCTCAGCCTGACAGAGCATTAACGGACAGTAACTGATGTTTACACACTGCTACGTTGATTAAAACGGATCCTGATTGGTACCAGGCTGTCTGTTGGAGGGTGGCTGCTGTCCCTCCCCTCGCTGTGCCAGCCGTGTGCCGTCCTCCTCTGCAGCAGAACAAGGCCCCCAGGGAGAAGAGCAGATAACAAAACTGACTGTTTAATGCTTTTATACACAATATAAATTACACTGACCAGCACGGCAGCAGCCATGGAACCAGTACTGTTCCCCCCTCCCCCCTTTCCCAAACCCTGGCAGAGGAAGGCTCCTGCAGGCAGGAAGAGGCAGGGGATGGCTGGGGACACAGCGGTGCTGCCGCGGGGGCAGGGGCCAGAGCCGCCGGTCAGGACTTCACCCTGCCCAGGCAAGACAGGGCTGCTGCAGGCCCYGGTGTGTCCCTGTGCCTGGCATAAGGCAGCCCAAGCCCCTGGGGAGGTGCTCGCCTGTCCCTCCTCCCCAGGGAGCTCCCCAGGCCCAGTGCCAGGCTAAGTGCTGTCTCAGGGGAGGGCCGTGCCCACGGCTGCAGGGGCCAGCAGGGCTTTGGCATTGCGCGGGTTCACCCAGCTCTCGGCCGTGTGGCCGTGGATCTTCTGGTGGCGCTTGTAGTTGTCCCAGTGCCCAGTGGTGTAGGGGCAGTCCCGGCACTGGAAGGGCTTCTCGCCCGTGTGCCGCAGCATGTGGCGCTTCAGGTTCATGCTCTGGTTGCAGCTGTAGCTGCAAAGGCTGCACTGGAAGGGCTTGTCGCCTGAGTGGATGCGCCCGTGACGCTTGAGGTTGGCCAGGTTGCCGCAGGCGTAGTCGCAGAGCTGGCACTTGTAGGGCTTCTCGCCCGTGTGCACGCGCTGGTGCCGCTTCAGGTTGTCCAGATGGGCMGAGGCGTAAGGGCAGAGCGGGCAGGCGAAGGGCTTCTCCCCGCTGTGCGTCTTCATGTGCCGCGCCAAGTGGTTGGGGTAGTGGGTGACGAAGGGGCAGAGGCTGCAGGCAAAGCCCTTGTCCCCGCTGCCCTTGCGGGGGCTGGCGCCCGGCTCGGTGCCCAGCACGGCCAGGCTGCAGCGCCCGCACACCTGCTCGGCCAGGCCCTCGTCCTGCGCGAAGCCGTCGTCCAGCACCAGCCCGCACATGCGGCACGTGAAGGGGAAGAGCAGCTCGGGCAGCGCGGCCGCCTCCTCGCCCCGCAGCCGCGCACAGCCGGGCAGGAAGGGACCGCTGCCGCTGCCCACGTGCAGGCTCAGCTCCGGCAGCAGCGGCTCTGCAGGACAAACAGACAGGGTGTGAGGAGGCACGGTGCCCCGGTGAGCCTGGCAGTACGTGGCAGGATCTGCTGCCCTGGCCCAGCCCCCCACGACAGCTCTCCCCACATCCCCGCACCCTCCCACCTTTACCTGGCTCCTTGTCCCGCCGGTGCGGCGCCTCGGCCTCGGGCAGGCGGTGGCTGAGCATGTGCCGCTTCAGGTTGCGGCTTTGGTTGCAGCGGTAGTCGCAGGCAGCGCACTGGAAGGGCTTGTCCTGGCTGTGGACCCGCTCGTGGCGTTTGAGGTTGCCCAGGCTGCTGCAGGCGAAGCTGCAGCACGTGCAGCGGTACGGCTTCTCGCCGGTGTGCGTGCGCAGGTGCCGCGTCAGGTTCACCAGCTGGGCGGAGGCGTAGGCGCACTGCGTGCAGGCAAAAGGCTTCTCCCCGTTGTGTGTCTTCATGTGGCGCTTGAGGTGGCTGGAGTAGTGCGAGGCGAAGGGGCAGAGCTGGCAGGAGTAGACGATGCGCTGGCTGCGGCCGCCCTCGGTGCCCGCGCACTGCAGGCAGCTCTGGCCCAGGCTGGCGGCCAGCTGCAAACCGCACTGGCGGCACGGCAGCGCCGCGGGGCCCGGCTCTCCCCCCTCCTCGGGGTCACTCTCCACGCTCAGCTGCTGGTACCCACTGGAGCAGTTGTCGTCGCTCAGGGCGTACGCCGGGATGCTGATCTTCCCCACCAGAGTGTCTGCTGAGAACATCCAGGGCATGGGGAGTGTCAGCCCCGCTGGCCGGGGCACAACTCCTCTGCCTGTGCCCCCAGCCCTGCAGGGTCCAGGCAGCTGCACCCACCCAGCAGGGTCCAGGCAGCTGCACCCACCCAGCAGGGTCCAGGCAGCTGCACCCACCCAGCTGTACCCACCCTGCAGGGTCCAGGCAGCTGCACCCACCCAGCGGGGTCCAGGCAGCTGCACCCACCCAGCGGGGTCCAGGCAGCTGTACCCACCCAGCTGTACCCACCCAGAAAGGTCCAGGCAGCTGTACCCACCCAGCAGGAGCCCCTGCACTGTGCACTGCAGCATGCAGCTCCACAGCTACAGCCTGCCCCAACACCCTTCCGAGGGTCTGTCCCGGTGTCTGGGGAACCCTAACACTCTGCATGGCTTCTGCCAACACCCGTGCACCAGGAAGGGTCAGGGGATGGGGTGGATCCGTTACCTGCTGCACTGCTGGGCCTGGTGAGTAGGGAGTGGGCATAGCCTGGCCCAGGCTGGAGAAATGGGTGCCCCTAAAGCTGCCCTGTGCTCCCTTTACTGTGCCACACCCCAGCCCCAGGGCTGGCATTTGGTTTGCATTCCCATGGCTGGCACCAGGAGCTCCAACACAAGCCCCCACCATCCTGCAGGAAACATTCCCCAATCCCACACAGTGCAGCAGGGGAAAGGCTGTGCCAGGCTCTCAAGTGGCACTCCTCAGCTGGGCACAGATGCATCGTTCTGCAGCCCCTGTGCCCCAGATGTGCCCCCAGGCTGGTCTCACCACTACCAGCTGAAGCCCTGGCCCTGTGCTGTGCCCTCCTGGCCCTGTGCTGTGCCTGATCTGCCATCCTGGGCCCTGTCAGACCCACCATCCTCCCACCACCCTGGGAAGCAGCGTGGAGCATCCCCCTGCTGCTGCCCCTCTGGTGGGTCCAGCTCCCAGAGCCTCAGAGGGGTGCAGGGGTGAGGCTGAGCCGCGCTGTGGGACGGGCTGGCCCCTCTGGGCTCTTGCACAGGCACTGCCTGAAATGCAGACATCAGAACACGGCATCCTCCCGACGCCTGGGGAACCCTCAGCTGCCCCAAGCCCTCTGTGGAGCCCCTTTCTCCTCACCTGAGCCCCACCCACACTGAGGGACCCACCTGTCCCCTCATCCCAGCCCCACACTGAGGAAATCCCGCGTCCCCTCAGCCCAGCCCCACAGTGAGGAAATCCCGTGTCCCCTCAGCCCAGCCCCACACTGAGGAAATCCCGTGTCCCCTCAGCTCAGCAGTGTCCCCACAGCACCGTCCCCTAAATGGCCGTGTCAGTGCTCAGAGGGGACAGTCTGTCTGTCCTGACCACTGCAGCGGGCTGAGGTCCTGTCCTGCTCCCTTGCTGGGGATGGACAGGCATTCCGGGGGTTTTGTCACCAAGCCCTGGGAGGCTCCTGGAGCTGCCCAGAGACTGTCCCAGCGCAGGGAAACGCAGCCTGGAGAGCAGCCTCGTGTGCCACAGCTGGGACTGGAAACCCGGAGCAGGAACA